GCTGTGATGTATCACTGTCTCCAGAAAAACGGAGGGGACTGTTTGGGTTTCATGTGTGCTTTTAATGTCATTGTGACTTGCTTAATGAGTTGCACTCTCAAAGAGTAAACATTTGTACATTGCATTTCTAGCTATGGGAATGGGGGAACATCACCAAAATTGCTGCAGTTGCTAATAAAGTTATCCAAAGAATATGCAGGTGTGGCCCTTCCCTCAGTGGCATAAGGAAGGCCTTCAGGTGGGAAGGGCTGGCTCCCTGAAAGCTCAAGCAATGAGAGAGTGAACAACATGCAGACCTACTTGTTCATAAATTCTCTTCTGTGAAAACCCATTTTTGCTTCTTTCTTGGCAAAATGATGAAACACCACAAACACATACCACTTTGCCTTCTGGCATCTTTGTTTTCCAGGGAGATAGCACAATATGCCATATATTTTGCCTCCTTCCTGTCTTGAAAATAGGTGTACAGGGTCTGAGTATAAATCAGATTACCTGTGTACTGATTGCAATGACTAATTCTCATTCTGCTATCTCAAATGCCACGGGTATCTTGTTCCCCTCTTTTAGAAATAGATGCATGGGTTGAGCTGGGATTTGAACTTGAAATAGCAAACGGGGTCCAGAATAGGTGTTTGGAGCCTGTATTCCACTATCTTAAAGTTCAGTAAGTTTTAACATGCAAATCCATGGTGCGGTAGTGGTTATTAAAGTGTCGGACTAGGATCTGGGAGACCAAGGTTCGAATCCCCTCTTTGACATAGAAGCTTGCTGGGTGATTTTGGGCCACTCACATACTCTCAGCCTAACCCACCTCAGAGAGTTGTGAGAATAAAATGGAGGAGAGGATAACAGTATAACCTGCTTTGGGACCCCAGTGAGGAGGAAGGTCTTCCTAGCTTCGTGAAATTCTTAACAGGAACACCTGGCAAAAGCACAGGGATTTGACCCAAGACTTGACCATGCTCATTGTCTCACCCTGTCTCCCTAATCAGGTTTTCTGTTGAAAAGTAAACTGCATAAAACAGAAGACCTGTTTGGAGGTGGGGACTAGCATGTCATGGGGGGAAAGACAAGAGTTCTTATCCTCCTACTCATAAAACTAGCCACAGGGGTTGGGATGGGTGCAGAACAGAACCAGCTGCTGAAAAATACGGTGATTGACCAGAATCTGCCCTGAAAAATCCCCCCTTTCCCACACCAGCCTGGATTCTCCTGGCAATAGGGTTGCCAGCCTTCAGGTGGTGGCTGGAGATTTCCACGATTATTACTGATCTCCAGACGACAGAGATCAATTCACCTGGAGAAAAATGGTGGCATTGGAGGGTGGACTCTATGGCATTAGAACCCAATGAAGTCCCTCCCCAAACCCCACCTTCCCCAGGCTCCACCCCCAAAATCTCCAGGTATTTCCCAACCTGGGACTGGCAACCAATGCTCCCTCTATTTTTCCCCCTTACTGAGCAGAGCAGTTCACATCCTGAGCAGAATACAACTGCTGTAATCTTAAAATGGGCAATGGGCAGTGCAAGACCCCGCATGGCTCCAGATTGCTGCTGAGTGGGGCTTCCTGTGTTAATGAGCAGCTGCTCAAGTCTGCGGCTTAGAGGGAACACTGCAGTGGCAACTCTTAACAGTTCTCCATTCTGCTCCCCGATTCTCCCACTGCTTCTGCTGAGGATACCCAAGCCGAGGCATTTGGGAAGGTGAAGGGTAGCTCAACCCCTTAAAACCCCCAGTCATCAAACGCTGGAGCCCACATTTTGAGCCACGAGGTTGTCTTGTATTTCACAGTTGAGCAAGGCTGGGTTTCTTCTCTCCTTCCTTCAAAATGCTCATCCTAAAATAGGGTAATGGCGCCTACTGTATCATAACACACCAATTCTGCCAGACCCTGTTCTACTGGGAGTTTGGGATAAATGTCACAATTGAGGAACTGAGCATTAAAAAAAAGCCCAGCCGTTAACCCAGTTCTGAAGATCCATTGAACATGAAACAGGACGCTCAGTCTAGCGGAGCATTCACGCCCCATGAATGACTTCCTTGTAGTTTTCATTTTCAGCAAAACTAGAATGCCGCAGTCTGTGTCCCACACTGGAAAAATCTTCCATCTGTTTTCCAACTCCAGTTACAAAGCACACAAAACAGCCTCCAGTTCTCGATAACTTGTTAAGGTTTCTGAATTTTGGTCGCTGGAATAAGGTATTTTTTTTTTCCCCCCCCCCCCCCCCATTTTGTGCTTAAAAAACACACTGTATTAGAGAAACAAAAAGATGTAGCTTTATTACAGGCTCTTTGCAATTATGGTGAAACCCACAAGCACCACCCATGTTCCAAAGATAGAAATCCAGCAAGCCCAGGCTGAAGCCGTGTCTGGCTGGGCAAGGATCCACCCACGCCAAGTCCTGAATGGCAGCTTTTCTCAAGAACAGCAGTGTCACCTCCTCCAAGGCGAGACAGAAGTGCTGAGACATGTCAGAGATGCACCCAGCAGCATGGGCTTCCAGAAATGCTTGCCGTAGAGTAGCTGACAGCCATTTCAAGCTTAAGCTACACTTGTCTGAACTGTCGTCCTCTAGTTTTTGTTACTAAAAGGCTAATGCAACGGGAAGGGGCTGATCTGAATGGATGTGGAAAGTATGCAACTGCAAATTATTTGAACATATAGTTAGATGCATTGCTATCCCCCCGCCCTGCCTTTAAGGGCTCTGAATCCTGCAGGGTAATTTAGGCTGACAGCAACTGACTGAAGATCATTCAGTGGCTGATTCTGCATTGGCTTTTCCCTCCAAAACCCACATTGGAACAGAAATCCCCCTCTGCATTGCATGCTGCTTTCATTTCCTTTGATCACTGGATTTTATGGTAGCCTCCACTCCATGCCGCTTTCGCTTTCTTTGATCGTCGGATCTTATTGTATCCTCTGCGCAGATTTAAGGCCATTTTATGGCCATTCAGGGGTGACTTTGCAGTCAGTACAGCGTTGCCCCAAGGTATTTGAATGTGGATTTAGCCTGCACTTTTTCCTCCCAGTTGAGAAAATGTGGCGCAAATGCTAGATGCGGAATCGCCCAATGAGTTTTGCACCAAAGACATGAACCCCCGGTCTACATACCTACCCACTATGTCGCAGTGGCTCCACTGGATGAGAATATAACTCAGCATATTAGAAGACCCTCCCACCAAATACTGGGTTCTGCAGGGGCAGATCTAGCCACAACATAATGCCCATCATGCCTCTCATATTTCCTTCCTTCCTTCCTCTCTTGCCTTTCTCCCCAATGAAGACCCAGAGCAGCTTACCTCTTCCATTTTATCTTCACAACAACCCTGTCAAGTAGGGTAGGCTGAGAGTGGGTGACTGGCCCAAGGTCACCCAGAAAGCTTCCATTGGCAGAGTGGGGATTCGAGCCTGGGTCTTCTAGATCCCAGTCCAACATTCTGACTACAACATCACACTGGCTTTGGGGGGGGGAGGGGGGACACTGGCTAAGTCCATACCTGCCCATCACTTGCCCTTGGGTTTCCTCAATTTCCACTGACAGAAATCCTTGGGCAGGGAGAGGGAAGAGGTGTGACCGCAAACAATTTGCAAACCCAAAGGTCTTTGCAACATACAGGTTAAGGTATGTTATCCGTCAGCTTCATGGGCTAGTTGTGCAAAACGTTACAGCCCACATTTTTACATCAGACCCTCAAGTGACCAAGAGGGTGCTGTCCAAACCTCTGAATGAACCCACTTGTTATTGTCACAACTACTCAACATCTTCATAATCCACCCACTACGGTTTGGGTTTAAAATGAACCAAAATAGTTTATGAAATCCATATACATCTGTCTCTGCCCTTGCTAGAAAACAGGCTTGACCTTTTTTACTGAAGATGTAAAAACATTCAATTCCCAGGAAAATCACAGATGTGAGACTTGCCAATACCCCAATTTCCTAGGCAATAAAATATATGACCATTTGGGAAATTGGCAGACTTCAATTCATAAGACTAGCTTCCTGAAATACAGAGAATTCACACACACACCCTGCTTTCATCTCTCTGATAACATCAAAGCACAGTTTATTTTCCATGATTGGGAAACACCAGGAGTAAACAATGACATTGTATTGATCCTGTGGAATGTGAACTTTTGTTGTGTGAGACCAATGAAGGGAAACAAATTTCCTTCAAGACAATTTCAACTTCTAAGTGTTAAGTTACAACTGTAATCCAGTTATTAAGGGACCCCTTTGATCTTTGGTATAAATATTGGTCGGTTACAACAGACCAGAGCTAACTCCTGCTAGGAGTCAGTCAGAGAGGCCTCTCGTCACGCATGCATGGGGTGGGGGAAACTCTGCTGAATGTTTATCTTTCTGTGTATTCTATCAATGTTTAGGGACTAGGACTCTGAATGTTTTTCTATAATGAAGATTAGTTTTATTTTAAGAAGAGACCTTAGTGATTTCCAAGCTTGCACATCTGCCTTTGGTAAGGGGCGACACTCAGGAGACACACACAAACTGAGGGGGGAGAGTGTGGGTGACATGGGTAAACACGCTTTCACAGGACACGTGCAGCCACACACCCACATCCAAAATCTCACAACACCCCAAAAGGGCTTCATAAATTTCCTGTGTTCAGTGCCTGTCTAGAACTGGGGGGAAAACAGTGTCGAACAGGTGGCTGCCTTTAATACAACAGCCTGCATGATGGGTCATAAGAGCGCAGGCCTGATCTAATGCCAAATTTTACCCCTCCCCTCAAGCACTTAGCTGTTAAATAAGATCTTTGGGATGTGCCACTGATACTGTGCTAATTAATAAAACTCCCATTACCTTTGGCCCCAATGAAATTTTATTTATTCATTACATTTATTAATCGTCTGTTCCCCACAAATGTGGGGCTCTAGGCGATGAACAAATTTAAACTATTAAAAACCATAAAAACCATATCCAACGTATTATACACAATGACATATTTTAACGAGTGCTGAATTTGTGTTTTGTTGTTCCCTCCCGTTCCTGGTCTGTGAGTGCTTCATGGGCACAGGGAGGGAACAGCTCACAGGAGATAGGAGAGTCAGGTGGAGGAGGGTGCCAGCTCTGATGTGGACTGTCACTGTCCTCAACCACATGCCCGGTGGAACATCTCTGCCTTACAGGCCCTGCGGAATTGCATAAGATCAAGGTACAATATTCCCTGCAAAGCCGGGAAGATCTCCAAGCACTACTCCCCACAGATTCCTTAGTAGACTTCACAAGACAACTTACAGAAGGCTAACTTTGCCTTCCTATGTCAGAAGTTGGTATGTTGACAAGTTAACTTTGAAAGGTGCACACATCCTTCGAGAACAGTAGGTGGCCTTAAGTCTTCATAAGTATCATCAAATTTTCTCCAACATAAATTACATCCCATTTGTAAGTTTTAAAGAAAAATGACAACTATTTAGAGAGAAAAACTGTATATACAAGATGTTCTGGAGCGGCAGACTAACAAATATAGTACCTTTTCAACTGTAGAATCCTTTTAAAAGTGTTACAAACATAAAAAGCAAAAAAAAACCCTAAGAACATCAGTAACAAGTAAAGCTCTTTTTTTAAAAAAAGTAACAAATATAATTTTAGAAATGCTTTCGTAATGCTAAAGTTAACAATAAAGATTTCTTGAAGGGGGACCCCCCCCCTTAAGTTGCTTCAGACCATTTCTCGATTTCTGCGGATAGCACAGCAAAGGATCATGCTGAAAATCATACCAAAGATCTGAAAAAGAAGCAAACAAGAAAAAACTTTTGGTGGCCGTGGCCTGGAGAAGAGGATACACATCAGACCTGGAAGCCAAACCATTAAATATTTTGGTTCCATCCAGGAGCGGATTAAGGCTCACTGGTGCCCTCAGCACTGACCAATCTTGGTGCCCCCCTCCTTTCCACACTGACCCACAGTCCATTTTAGTTGTTGACCTGTCTGACCAGATAGACAATGCAGGTTGCAGCAATACAAAAATTTATTCATATGATAACACAGTATACTGTACAAACTAAGCTTTTCACCCTTTTCCCAACTTTGTGGTGCCCCCTTTGGCCTTGGTGCCCTAAACACGTGTTTAGTCTGCTTAATGGTTAATCTGCCCCTGGTTCCATCTTCCTTTTTCAATCTTGCTGTGACTGTAAATATTCAGGTAGAAGTCAATAGAAGTTTGGTTAACCTGGTTCACATCAGGCTTTCAGAAACATGCCAGTTAGTTGTCACATGATATACCTTAAATACGAGTCATTCTGCCATGTGTTTGCTAGGTGGGGTGGGGCAATTTAAATGTTAGCCGTAAGAACCCATAAAAACTATGAAGCATTAATCAAATAAAAATGATTCTAGGATCACCACACCTTTGGTTTAAGAGAAATGCTATGTCCCTTGCTGACTAATACATGCTCCAGAAAACATGGGAACTATATGTTATGGCCACAGATTAGCTTAGACATGGCTCAAGTAGTAAACATATTCTACAAAGTCTTCTATGTTATATGCTGGTTTCATACATCCCCAATGTGCCTTGGTCTTACAAATAGACACTAGGTTTGAAAGGAGGGGAAGGGAGGAGGAGGAGAAGGTGGAGATTGGATTTATACCCCACCCTTTAATACCCAAAGGAGTCTCAGAGAGGCTTACAATCTTCTTTCCCTTCCTCTCCTCACAACAGACATCCCGTGAGGTAGGTGGGGCTGCAAGAGCTCTTTCGACAACTGCCCTTGAGAGAACAGCTCTGAAAGAACTTATGACTGACCCAAAGTCACACCAGCAGCTGCATGTGGAGGAGTGGGGAATCAAACCTGGTTCTCCCAGATTAGAGTCCACACTCTTAACCACTATGCCAAACAAAAGTTCAGCAGGTGCAATCCTTGCTAACAATCGCTAGACCAGCCAGGGGTCCACAGCCTGCAGACACATTTGGAATTCTGACAAGGCATGGTGGGCATACCCATAAAATGGCTATCACAGGAGGCGGAGCCAGCCACAAAACGTCTGAACCACAACCTGATTTGCTGTGTTCTGTTCCAATTACGTTTCCATAAGAAGGAGAGGGTTTTGGCTTTGTTAGACAGCTTGCATCAGATCAAATGGGGTAGAATTCAAGAAGGGACGACACCTGCCCTTACACCAAACTGGTTCCCACAGTGTTGAGACCTGGGTTTGAGACCTATCAGTGGAAGGCTACTGTAACAGGACCTTTAACTTTTTAAGAATGGCTCTGGTCCTAAAGAACACTTACATAAATGTCACTAAAACTCCAAATCCAACTTCTTGGGAGACTTGGAGTAAGTCAGAACTAACTGTCTAGATAACTGAATTTACTACCCCTAACTATCCCCCAGTTGGTGTCCAACCGTTGGCCAATTTTGCCTACAACGGCTGCTTTACTCCGAGGGGTGCATTCAAAGTTTGACAACCATATGTGACGAAGGTTACAACTTACCATCACCACCCCAATGCCAATGCCAACGGCTCCAACCACATTCAGCTTTGAGGTGAAGACCTCCTTAATGGCTTCATGACATGACTGGAAGGGAAATAAATCTGTCATTTTTAGTACTGCTGCCTGCACACAAACACACACACAAACATGCTCCAAGTAGCAAGATCTGCTAGACGCTGCTTAGGGTTGCCAAGTCCACTTTAGCCCCCAGCGGGGGACTTTGGGGAGCTTTCCCGGAGGGGGCGGGGCATCCCCAACATGATGATGTAACACTGGGGATGTCCGCCCCCGCCCGCCCAATGGGCGCGTGGGGAAACATCAGCTCCCTGCACTTAAAGGGAGCCCCTTTAAGAGATGGGAGAGGGGTGGCTGCATGTGTTGGGGCTTGGGGGCGGGGCTTCCCTGTCGACCGGCTGGCCAGCGGCAGGTAGAATCCCCCCAAAAGCAGGGGACCCCTGCCAAACCGGGGGGGGGGGGGGGGGGGGGGGGGTTGGCTACCCTAACGCTGCTTGAGTCATGTACCCTGCCAACCAGTTTGACAAAGTGGGACATCTGTAAACAGGGTCATTAGCAGCAAGCATCTATTTTACTCAGGCAAGCATCTCCTCCAGCCCAAAGTCAGAGAAAGGATGAATGGCAAGGACAGATGTTGACCAGTAACCCAGGCCAGCCTGTGGTCCAGGCACTGAAAAGATTAATTTCTCCTTATGGGTTTATGAGGCGAATGAGGACTTTACGCATACCTTCTAAGACTGTACAACCCATGAATCCACCACCCACTGCCAAACTTGGCTCACCAACCATGCATGACATCCCATCAAGGAATTAATTAGGCCTCTTATAGAGGTCATCTAGGCCAGCCCCCTGCTAAGCTCAGCAAAGGAATGTTCTGATATAGAGCCATGGCCGTCCAGTGTCTGCCTGAAGGCCCCCATCCCACAAAGACCTTTCTCACAGATGTAAGTGATCAACCTGAGAATGGGAAAAGGGAGGGAAAAGTAGAAGAGGGCACTTCCATTGCTGATACTGTCTGTGCATGTCAAGAGAGCCAGAGTACTACCGTTCCACAGGGTACACTGTTGTTTGGAGAAGATGCTACAAAACTCCCCACGGAGGATGGGATTCCTTTCCTCATCCACTTTGCAGAACACAGAAAGCTACACAACGGCCCCACAGAAAGGGGCACCTCACTGCTAGAGGGAAGCCTCAAAGGAAGGCTTTTAAAGGGGAAAATTTCCCATCCAACTGGGAGGCCAGTATGGAGTTACTTTTCTAAGCTGTGGGGAATTCAACACAGAAGCAGCAGCAGGGAAATGATCAGGGCCTCCACAATGGCCTGTACTGGAGGGAGCCATTTCAACACCTCCACGCAACGGCCACTCTTCCCAGTCACTCAGACCATATGACATGCCTCCTTTAAGCATGATGCTCTTGTGCAGACCACTTGCCCTTGTTGAAAAGAGCCTTCCCAGCCTCACCTTCCTTACACTCCTGCCTGCATTCCCTATTAAATCCTAAGCATGCTCCAGCTCTTCCACACTACTCCGTATGAGCTCCTTTACTGCCCCCTTATGTTGAAAGGTCAACCTAGAACCTCCCTAGGGTGCCAACTCTTTCCCTTTTCCTCCAAGCCACAAGTCCTACCTCAGCCTTTGGCATCATCCCTTCCCTTTCAATCCACTGCAAAGTAATTTCATTTGTCACGTCCGTCCCCACTGTCCCCATCTCTTTGTTCTCCCCCCAAATGTGCACCATTTGCAACTTGAGGCTGCTTACATAAAAAGTGGCCTCCTGGGGCCACAAAAGAAGTCTCCAGGTCCTTGTGGAAGGAGCGGAATCTGGCTCCAGCTCAAGCCAGAACACACCCACACAACTTTTCAACACACATGATTAGATCTACATACCCTTAGTGCAAAGTCCACTCCATTTTTCGGTTTGGGACAGGTTTCCTGAAACCATGCTTCTAGGGTCCCCCCGTAACCACAGCAGTAAAGCTACAGCCAAAAAAGAAGAAGAAGAAGTTATGTCACAGCATAAGAGTTGTATTTCAAGAAGGAATGTCCCAGAGGTGTGTAAGCAATCTGGGGGGAGGGGGAACACAACAAACCAACTTTGCTACGATATCTCAAGCGATAAAAATCCTACTAAGTAATGCCCTGATCTGGATAGCCCAGGTGGGTCTCATTTTCTCAGATATCGGAAGCTAAGCAGGGTTAGCCATGGTTAGTATTTGGATGTGAGAGGCAGGCCATGGCAAACCACCTCTGAATGTCTCATGCCTCCAACACCCTACGGGATCATCGTAAGTCAAACTGCATCTTGACGGCAAAAAAAAAAGGCAAGGTGTGACTGTGCTAATGTATGCAAAGTATACAGTTCAAACACACACGTTTTAAAACACATAATACCAGGAAACATAGGTAGCAGTCAGTGTTCCCTCTAAGCCGAGTTAGCGTGAGCTAACTCACAGTTATTTAGCCTCCCACATCTTTGTCTTCGCTCAGGAAGGACGGCTCCAGAGCAAACTAATTTAGGCAGCAGCCAAATTGCTCACTTTAATGCCAATAGCTCACAAAATTGAATTTTTGCTCATAAGACCCCACAGCTTAGAGGGAGCATTGGTAGCAGTGCCATTGCCGTGTGGTTCCATCCTTTACAATAGTATATGACAAACTTGAGGGAATATAATGTGGCAGTTTAAAGTAAAAATACTTCTGCACGTTGCTACTCATGGGGGAATGATCAAGTCTCCAGATTGCACACTACAAGACATCAAATCATGTACTCAATGGGAACACCCTACCAGGGAAGAAGGTGCTATTTAGGTTATTTGAGAAGTTTTGTGGCTCAGAGGTTCTACAGTACAAGCTTTAGCTGGTACAATGTGGGAGTATTTTTGGTCTTGTCAACAAATCAGTGACACCAAAAATCCTCTGTGGCAATCCAAAGTTATAAAGTTATTAAAACATAAAATTATAAAAACTTTATAACATTAAAAGCTATGACACTACCCAGAGGATAAAAACCACAAACAAACTTTTTTTTTAAATAGAAGAGTAATTAAAAAAATAGAAAAGTAATATAATTCACAACATGCTAAGCAAGCCTGGTTCATCAAGGAAACTGCTTACAAATGCAGGAACTAAACCCATGGAGGTTTCTTACAACTCAGTGCAAAAGACGTTTCTGGTACCCCCTTGCAGCAAGACATCCCACCCCCTCGGACGACCATATCCCAAAAAACCAGTAGCACAACAAAGAAACAGAACAGAAGAAACAGAACTTACAGCATGCTGAATGGCTATCAGGGTTTCCTTGGTACCTTGTTCGTTTCTTTTTTCATACACCTTGTCATAAAACTTCTGTACTTCCTTAATAATCTAGAAACCCAAATGAAAGCAAGTACTCCCATCAGTCTTTTATCTTTCAAAAGGAGAGAGGAAAATATATGTAACAGAACATGCTGCAAGCAGCACAGTGGCCAAATACTTCAGACTCTGCTCACCATCTTCTCAGGCCCTATGACAACACTCATTCTCCTTAGGCGTGGGCTAAGTGAACCCAAAAGCATGAGATTAAACATGGGACTGATGAAGAAAGAAAGAGAGAGAGAGAGAGAAAAGACAGGGAGAAGGGGGGGAGAGAGGAAGGAAGGAAGGGAGGGAGGAAGGAAGGAAGG